TTTTTCAATTCCTCAAAAGCTTCTGAAATATTTTGTTTCGTATTAGAATAAATATGATTATTTTCTAATATTACTTTTCCTTGATAATTTAATCCAATCTCGACACCATTTTCCCTATTATGATGAATTCGATTATTGTAAAGAAATGAATCAACGCCATCTTTTATGATACACCCTGAAGTTGCATTATAAGAAATTTCATTATACCAAATGTTCCATTATTGATAATTTTATTTTTACATAAAATAACTGTCGTTTGTTTTGGTCGAGTATAAGGAGCAATTGGAGGAGTTCTATGTACTTTTGGGTAGCAAGTTCTAGCCATACTATTTAATGCTGATTCAGGTGGTTCGTGATTTCCATCAATATAAATTCCTTCAGATTTATTATCAGCGTCTGACCAAATTATTGAGCCTTGTTTATTATTATGAATATTATTATTTTCAGCATATAAACTTGAACTTCTATAGCATTTATTCCAATATTATAAATATGAAACTTTTTTATAATGGCTTTACTATCTTCGCTAATTAAAAGTTCACCTGAATCAAGTGAATTAGTTATTTCACAATTATTTAAATAAAGAATTGACTCTCGTCCTGAAATATTAATAGGTGCTGAATTTTTGAACATTCGATAAATTGACAAGAATCTATAAAAATTTTTGATGTTTGAAGAAGAAGTACATTATGTTATTACATTCCACAAATAAATTATATAAATTTAAACAATTGTTTTTTTTTCGAAAATGTATGCCAAGTAACCTGATGACCTATTCCAATATTATTATAGTTTGATCCATGATAGAAACATCAAGAGTATAAGTATTAGGTGATAAAACTAATACGATATCTTTTAGAAATAATAATGGATCAAGTGAAATTTTATTATTTGAAGAATTTATTAATCGAATATCTTTGGGAATTTTGAATGGGATTTTTTTTAATTATTTGAATAAATATTTAATTATCACGTGAAAATTCGCCCGAGGCGTTGGATATTAAGATATTTGTGAAAGCTTATAAAAGATTATTATCAATGTTATTATAATCAATATTATTGTTATTATATTTTAAATATATTTTGGCCATCATGCGGTATGCTGATTTATTACCAAGAGGATTTAGATAAGTAGAGGCTTTATGATTTTCTTTTGAAAAAATATCATCACTATCTAAAATGGTTGTTCCAAGATTATAATATATTTTTGATAATTCTTGTCGTTCTGCAGATGAAAGTTGTGAAATGATAAGGGAATAATCATCATTTTTGGTATTTGAAAATTTTGGGATGATTTTCTTGAAATTGGTTTAATTCTTACAAATGAGTTTTTTAATTCATTTTCATTCATGATTTACTGCTGCTTTAAAAAACAGTATTAAGTTTTGAATATTTCAAATCAAACATTTATAAAAAATTCAATACATTGTTCATTGTTTCCCAAAATGGATTTGTCTGTTTTTGTAAAAGAAAGCGGGGATGAAAAATAAAAGAAAACAAGTGTACGTAAATAAAAAATGATAGAAATGAAAGAATAAAAAAATTGGTGGATTAAAAAACAAAACATGAAATATTAAAATTATCTTTATTATATTTGAATTTATTAAAAATGTATAGACAATTAGCCCAGAATTTCACTGTTAGAAGACTACAGTGCGGAACCTCTACAAAACCAGTAAAAAAAATGTATCATTTTTGAATGTATGTTACCTAAATCAAAATTTTAACATTAATTTTTTTTTAATCAAAAATTTTGAAATTTTTTATAATTGTAATAAATAAAAAATTGCTCTAAAATCTAAAACATAGTATGAGAACCTACAAATGTATGTTATAAGTTTTACTCATCATTTATCCGCCATCATCTGTTTATTGGACACGTCAAGAATCAAGAATCGGGACTTAATTTTATCTAGACGAAGAGTCATTTGACCTCACCTTTTTTAGTGGAGTTGAAATTCTTTCATAATTTAATCGTTCATCATTATAAATCTCGATGTTAGTTTTTATAAATTATTTGACCGATTTGACAAAATGAAAATGAATAATTAGCAATATTTTCAAACAAAATAATTGACAAGCTTAAGAAATCATCCTTATTAGACAAAAAGTTCCAGCTTGCACTAGCATCGAACAAAAGTTCATCATTGGAGAATAAAAATTACCGCTTGCACTAGCGTCGAACAAAAAGTTTATCACTGTTCGGATTAAGCTCTTAAATCTTTCAAATACTATTCAACTAATAGAAATATCTTGATTTTCCTTCGCATGTAGCGTTGAAATCAGTTTCAGATTTTCTACTTTCCAATAGATCCTTTTTATTATATAAACCTTTATTTTATTTTTTATTCTGTAGCACTGTTTTTCACTGTAATATTAACCACTCAAACGTGTAAAAAGCCATATTAAAAAACCATGATAGCATGTGTGTTGCAAAAAATATGGTTTTACTCTTAAATCTTAAGTTTTGCAAATTTCCTAAAAGAATTTTAATTAAACGAGTGATATAAGTCGATCAAAAAAATCGTCTAATAATTTAACTCGACCCAAGTCGACTAGTCGATATAATTTCAAATACCGCTAGAGGTTGAAACGTTTACAGTGAATTTATTATTTCCGTAATAAAAATCGACCGGATTAGCCGGCTAGTCGACTTGATTCGATTTTCAAGTCACGCTAAATTGATCCAGAAACTTTGTACTACTTTATAATTCCCAGATAACCATTCATAATCTTGATTTTTTAAGGATGCATAAAGCTTTCCGTGAATGTTTGTGTTGTGTCTTATAGAGCGAAACGCTACTTAATCAAATTATTGATTCTTTGATTGGTTAATTATTGTGAAAAAATGGAAAATAATCGTGGCCCTACACTCGTTATTCACGGAGGCGCTGGAACTATAGTTAGGAATAATTTTACGGAGGAAAAACAACAGGAATATCGGGAAGCTTTGAAGAATTCACTTAAAGTAGGATATGAAATTTTGGCTAAAGGAGGAAGTTCAATTGATGCTGTAGAGGCCTCAGTTAGAGTACTGGAAGGTATTTTATTATTATTATTATATAAATGAGAAATTCTAGAAATTTTACGAATTTTTCGTTTTAGATTGTCCTCTCTTTAACGCTGGCAAAGGATCAGTATTTACTAAAGGAGGCAAGGTAATCATAATTTATCATATAAAAAAAATAATTTATTTTTAATCCTCAGATCTCGTATTTATTGATTTTTTTTGTAAAGAATGAATTAGAAGCCTCAATCATGCTTGGTATTTCATCCCATACAGCGGGAGCATGCACTTTACTCCACACAATAAAGAATCCAATAATTCTAGCAAAAACTTTATTACTAGATCCAGATAATCCTCACGTATTTTTAGGTGGGATTGAAGCCGAGAACTATGCAAAATCAAAGGGATTAGAAATAGTAGACCCTAGTTATTTCTTTACAAAATTAAGATGGAAACAACATTTAGATGGATTAGAAAAAGGAAAGATTTCAAAAAATTCAGAAAATATGATTTCAGTTATAGGGGAAGATATAAATGATGAATTTAATCAGGATCCGACGGGAACTGTTGGTGCAGTCGCTGTTGATGCGAAAGGAATTATTGCAGTTGCTACATCTACAGGTAAAATTCTTTGATTATAGGTTAATCTTTTTAATTTACATTACTTATGCCAAGATAATCATTTTTAATTCGAATTATTTTATATAAATCATCATCAAAGGCGGATTTAA